GTCTTTATTTTACAGTTAAAATAAATGTTTATCAAATGAAGTCTAATGTTACAACTAATCAAGGATTCTTTTAAAGATGATTCTTATTGGTCAGGCTCTACACACTCCTGATCGTCACACAAAGCAACGCAAAAAAAACTGAACTATTTGCTGTGTAACCATCATCTGATCAGTCTCCAAATGTGTGGCCAGAAAACTTGAGTCTGACTTGGTAATGAAAAGGCAAGCTGAGGGCGATACAAACATTCTGTCTTAAACACCAGTAACAGCAGATTACAGGATAAAGAGCACCAGTAAATCATATCAAGTTCATTTCACCACCGTTACTCAGTGATGTCAGAGGACACAGCTTCTCTGTCAGAGCAGCTGTGTCCTCTGACATCAGCTGTGCTTCAACTGTTCAGGAGCAAAGACACAACACTGCTGATCAGCGGTGACAGTGTCAAGTTTTAAACCTTTTTTTTTTCAGGTCTAAGAAAATTCCAAAAAGAAAAGAGAAATTATATAAATGTATATATAAAAAAGCTAAAGTTGTCAGGCCAGCCAGGTMTCATAGGTTCATCCGCAGGTGTTCTGGTCGCTTTAAGTTCATGGGATAGGTCTGTTTTCTGTACGGCTCTGTGTTCATGCCTGCAGGATGTCTGATGGGGAGAGGAGCTGACGTCTCAGTGCTGCTGCTGCTCGTGTCCATTTGCTCCAGGGACTGGTCTATGCCAGGGGACAGGGTGGACAGCGAGGGTCCCTGAGGCCAGCAGTCCCCTCCTGCAAACTTCAGTGGACTAAAGAAAAAGACATGAGATACCACAGTTATACTTGTATACCACTAAAGACAAGGCTAACCCGTAATTTAAAAAAAGATTCTCTGTCTTATCTGCCTTCAGGTCTGTTACCTGTGTGAGAACTGTTGTATCTGTGGGAGAACTGCTTTTAAAGGCATAAAAGTTTTCCTTAATACACAAAAATACAAACCTTTTTCCATCAACACAACTCGTGCTCCAGAAAACACACAAAAAAATGTATTACATTAAGTAAGGAAGTTAGTGTTAGGTACATTTTGTATTGGTTGTAACAACGCTTCTTGGCAATAAATCCTGTTTATTTCTCTTTTAAATGGTGCCACATTTGTAAGGAACAGGATTTGTGGGATGGCACCTGATCCTCTCAGGTGGAGCGTGACAACATTTCTGTGGGTCATCTTTTCTGACAGCTGCTTTCAAAATATCTGCCAGCTTTGTTTTGCTCTCTGCTCATTCTTTTTTATATTTTAAACTCAGTCTGACAGATATCTTGTTTTTTATGAGCCCCGCTCTCGGACTTCTTCCCCGACATGTTGACAGCTGTCTGTCAATCATCAAAGGACACGCCCACACGTTATGACAGTAGTTACGTGTCTGCTTCATAATTGGTTCTGACAAATTTCCACATATAAGCAACGTTTATAT